GATTCCCATTCTTCTCAGAGTCAGCCATTTTATTATCCATTATTATTTAAAGATAATATTATTAATTATTTTCTTATTTATTCCTTTCTCCTTTCCTCAGCGGATTGTGGGCTCCCAGTTCTCTCCCAGGCTCCAGTATTTTGGTCAGTCACTGAGTGGGGGCCTGGACATCACATCGGATGGTCTGGTGGACTTGGCTGTGGGAGCCCAGGGCCGCATGCTGCTGCTCAGGTGAGAAACTTTACGGAGAACACCTGGGGGAGTCCTCTCCTCAAGGAGTCTCTTTGCCGTCTGAAGGCCCCTAGTGGGCAGCCGCTTTCTGGTATCCCTGCAGGTCCCAGCCTGTACTCAGAGTCCGGGTAACAATGGAGTTCACTCCCAAGGAAGTGGCAAGAAAGACATTTGAATGTGGGGAGCACGTAGTGAAAAACCAAAACGCAGGGGAGGTCAGAGTCTGCCTGCAGGCCCTCAAAAGCACACGGGATCGACTTAGAGAAGGTAAGGCTTGGTGGGCAAGTCTCAAGAGGTTAAACAGCAACGAAGGCATTTGCTTCACCTTCTGACCGTCCAGAGCTCAGTTCTCAAAGGCCTTCTCCAAGTGTGGCTGGAGTGAGTGGGCTGTGTATGGAGGCCCAGAAAGCCCACCTCGGAGGTGAGAAGGTAATCATCCCTCATCCTCCTAGTTCTCTAGAGAATCAGGAATCGAGGACCTGTGAACTAACCTGGGGTTTCCACTTGAGACAGAATTCATTTAAAGCGGAAGCTGAGTTGATAAAAGCTAAGCACAATTTATAAAGTATTCAGATGTGCGTTTTATCTCAACTATCTTGGCTTTTTCCTTTCTCCCTGCACCCAAAGAACCCTATGCTGCTTGAAAGGGTTCCTTCCTCCTTTCAAGTGTTGATGGTGAAGAGGCAAAGCAGAAGGGAGAAGCAGTCTTACCAGCCTAAAGTGACAGCAGACAGAGCTGGTACAGCCAGCATGGTGGGAAATTGAGAGACAAAGTCATAGAGAACAGGGAAGTTAGAGAAGGTGCCCCACAATCTACCCAGCAATTCCTGTCAAGTTATTTACTAACTCCTAAAGCAAGCTTGGTTAGGCCAATTCGCTAAGAAACCAGGAGAAGAGAGTATTTGGAAAGCTGAGTAGAGGATTTAACAGATTTCCAGTGCTTAGGAGACATACGTTTGAGAAGATGTTGTTGTTAGACGTCATTGAGTTGGCTTCTGGGTACCCTTTGTACAACAGAGCTCTGTGCACTCCTACGGCAATCTCACAATCTGTTACTGCAGCCTCTGAGTCAAGCCATCTTGCTGGGAGTCTTCTCTTCCCTAACCTCTACTTTTCCAAGCATGGTGCCTCATCATCCTTGCTCCTAAGTAGCACTCTGGCTGCACTTCCTCCAAGAGAGATACATTTATCCTTTTGATTGTCTATGTATATTTAGAGAGCTCTGGTGGCCTAGTGGCTAGAAGCTGCATTGCAATCCCTGAAGGTATGTGGTTCAAGGCCACCAGATGCTCCGTGGGAGAAAGATGGGAAATCCCCTTCTGTGTTATTAACAACCTCCGGAAATCTGCCAGAGGGTCGTCTGTGGGTCGGTTCTGACTCTGCGGTACATAACAACAACATGATATATTTAATATTCTTTGTCAATATCACAAATTCAGAGACTTTAATGTTTTTTCTTGAATAATAAGAAATATAGTTTTTTTTTCTTGAATGAAAAGGAAGAATTTATTTTTTCTTGAATGAATAAGTCTTCCTTATGCACGGTCCAACTTTCTTTCACATGCATCTGAAGCGGCTTAAAATAGCATGGTTTGTGTTAGGTACAACTCTGATGGATACTTGGGTCTTTCCATGGAGACATTGTTAAAAAAACAACAACACAACAGACTCTGAGATCAGTTACTAAATAAATCTTCAAATCCAAGCCCCGCTGCTATAGAGTCTGTTCCAACTCCTAGTGACCCTGGAGGACAGATTGGAGTCTATTCGAATCACAAGATTTCCAAGGTTGTATCTCTTTAAAGAAGCTGACTGCCTCATCTTTGATGATGTGGATTTGAACTGCTAGCCTTTTAGTTAATAGTTCAATGCTTAACCTACAGATTAAGCCAGACCTATTGCCAGGACTGCAGAAATTATTAGATTAGGGATTAAAAATTAACTGCAGTTATTATCTTCAAGAATATAGAGGAATAACGAGAGAGTTTCAAAAAAGACCTGGGATTCAGAAAATGATTGGTTAGTGAGAAAGAGCAATGGAAACAGACTCAGATTTGACTCCGAACTGCCAGATAAGAACCTTAGAATAACTACAATTGCCGTCTTCAGAATGATGGAAAACGTTGACAAAGATGATGAAATTCATGAGACAGAGTCAAACGGAAACTCTAGGAATGGAGAAAGGAACGGCAAAGATTAAAATGAAGAACTGAATATTATTAGATTAGAAGCTGAACAAGATTAGTAAACGAGAAGATAGACCAATGGAAAGAATTCCAGTAAGTCCACAAAGGGGGAAAAGAAACGAGAAAAATCTTAAGAGACAATAAAGGAGCTAACAAACAGGAACAAGCAGAGAGGACAGATGTAAAAAAATTTTTTTTAATTTTTTTTTTTTTATTGTGTTATTTTTACATGTACCGTCAAATCAGATCTGACTGGTACAGGAGGAGATTGTCCCCTCCTTCTCCAGCAGAGCATCTGGTGGATTTGAACCGGGTACTTCTGGGATTGCAGTGCAGCGTGATGTCAAAAATTAAAAACAACAACAACCCCCACAAAACAAACACAGACGGGAGGCAGGACCTTCCTTCCCCAGACCTAGCAGGTCAAGTGTTCCTCAGAATCCTGGACTCAAGAGTGTTAGCCTCCTAAAAAGTTGAGAAAATAAATTTCTATTTATAAAAAAAACCACTCACATGGGACTTCCGGGTAAGAAGGTGGACTATAAAACAGAGATAAAGCAACGATAACAGATAACAGATTGTAATCTCTGAACCCTGAGTTTCAAAGGGGTTCACACAGTGACTGGAGGGGGAAAAGTAAATCCGTGAAATCATCAAAACCAAGTGGCAGGTGGAGCCGTGAGTTGTAAATGTTGCAGCACAGCCATTTTGAATGTTTAAGTGTAGCTTTCGGGTTGGTTGATAAGTCAACCTGGACCTGTGGCTGTGTCCACACCAGCAGATGGCTGATGACAAGAAATGTTGTAATTCCCCTTTGCCTCCCATACCCTCCCAGGGATCAGCGGAGTGACTTTCCCCTACTTCAGACCCTAAGTAGCTGACAGTGCTCTTCTGGCCTCAGCCCAGCTCAGTCTGAGGCCAGGCTTGTGCCATTTTGTGTCTGGCACCAGGAGTGCTTAAGATACACCTTTTGAAATATTCAGAGACTCTCGTTTAGGTATGACTGTGCCGTACCCGGCCTGCAGCCAGCCCCCCACTGCCTCTAACGCGTGTCCTTGCCTCTGACTGGGTGCCCCTGCAGATTCCTTAGCTACCACAGACCGCATGTTATAATTTTCATTATTTTATTTTTATATACCTGATTATTAAGGAGAAAAAGTGTGCAGTAACTTACGATGCACACAAGTGCCTTTGCATAGTCAAGAAAACACAGATAAACATCTTTTTAAATTTTATTTTTAAAAAATTTTATTATTATGTGTGTGTGTGTGTGTGTGTATGTGTACTGTCAAATCAGATCTGACTGGTACAGGAGGAGATTGTCCCTCCTTCTCCAGCAGAGCATCTGGTGGATTTGAACCGTGTACCTCTGGGTAGCTTCTTGCCACTAGGCATAAACGTCATTCTGATATTCTCTGCTTGCAGCGAAAATCCATCCTACATCAGCAATGAGATGTCTTTTTCCAAGTTCCTTTCTGAATCTGGCTTGAGTTTCTGGCAGTTCTCTGTTGATGTATTGCTTCAGTTGGCTTTGAATGATCTTCAGCAAACTTTTACTTGATATTTCAAGAATTTCTGCATTCTGTGGGAACACCTTTATATAGAATGAGTGAGAGCTTATAGCACGGCATCCATTTGTTGAAGCATCTTGATTGGTCTCCCATCAGTTCCTGGAGTCTTGTTCCCTGTTCAGCTTGGACTAATTCCTTCGGTACCATTGGTTCTTCGTCAAATGCTGCCTCTTGAAATGGTTGAATGCTGACCAATCCCTTCCATCTTCTTTCGATGCTTCCTGTGTTCATGATTTTGCCCATAGAACTTTCGGGGTTGAATTTTTTTCTTCAGTTCTTTCAGCTTGAGTCATGCCAAGTGAGTTATTCTTTTGTGGTTTTCTAACTCCAGGCCTTTTCACATTTCATAATGACATTTTGCTTTGCCTTCTCAAGCTTCCCTTTGATATTTTCTGTTCAGCTTTCTTACTTTTTTTGCTTCTTCCTCCTACTTTAGGCATTTACTTTGCTATTGTTGTCATTGTTTTGTACTGTAAAGTCAGAACTGACCCTTAGCTGACCCTCTGGTAGGTTTTCATAGGTAGTTAACTGAATGGAAGGAGATTGCCCGTCTTTCTCCTGCAGTGTGGCTGGTGGCCTTCGGGATTGCAGCGCAGCTTCTTGCCATTAGGCCACCAGAGCTCTTTTTTCTTTCTACTTTAACCTCTCAACAAAAACAAGTTTCAGAATATTTTCCTGACATCCACTTTGCTAATTTTTTTCTTTTTAGTGTCTTTCTGCTTTCTTTGTATAATAGACTCTCCCTCTTTCAGACTCATTGCCACTGAGTTGAAACAAATTCATAGCTGACTCTTCAGTGTGTTGTCAGAGGCTGTAGGTCACAGGGGAGGAGACTGGTCAACTTTCTCCTGTGCATCAGCTGGTGGATTTGAACTACCTGCCTCTGGGTTGGCAGCACAACTCCTTACCCACTAAGCCATCAGAATTTCCTTATGTAATAGACTACTATTGTTGCTATATGCCATTGAGTCAGAATGGACTGATGGATGACCCTCCAGGAGGCTTTCAGAGGCTATAAATTACATGAGAGGAAATAATCTGTTTCTTTCCCCCGAGATGCAAAACACTAGTGACCATTTTTTGGAGTTTCTATGTGGCAGGCACAATAATAAGTACTTTATAGGCATTATTTTATTTATCTTCACCAACAAGAGGGTGCAATTATTAAACTCACTTTGGACTTGTTATCTGACCTTTTTGAGTCTTAATTCCTTTTTTTTTTAAAAGTCATCTTACTGGGGAGCAATAGGCCTCAAATTCCTGTCTGTCTGATTCCAACATTAAGACTCCTCACCCCACCTTACTCTGTCCTTCAGGAGAGACTCAGAGCATTGTCAATTATGACCTGGCTCTCGACTCCAGCCGCTTAAATCCCCGTGCCGTCTTTGCTGACACAAAGAACAATACTTGTAGAAAAACTCGGACATTGATGCTGAGGGAGGAATGTGAGATTCTGAAGCTGCAATTACCGGTGAGCGTGTGTGTGTGTGTGTGTGTGTGTGTGTGTGTGTGTGTG